ACATGCTAGACAACTTATATTTTCCTACAAGTTTCTGAGGCTTTGTTCATTTAGTTTCAGTCTTTGTTCTCTTTCTTCTTCAGAATGGATCATCTTTCTGACTCCGTCTTCAAGTTTATGGGCTCTGACTTCTGTCATCTCCAATCTGCTGTTAAAACCACCAGTGAGGGATCCCCGGGTGGTGCAGCAGTTTGGCGCCTGTCTTTGGCCCAGGGCGTGATCCTGGAGACCCGGGATCAAATCCCATGTCGGGCTTCCAGTGCATGGAGTGTTTCTCCCTCTGCCTGTGTCTCTGCCTCTCTCTCTCTCTCTCTCTCTCTCTCTCTCTGTGACTATCATAAATAAATAAGAATTAATTAAAAAAAAACCACCAGTGAATTCCTCACTTCAGATGTTGCATTTTCAGTCTAGAATTTATTTTTTTAATTTAATTCTATTTTTAAAAAGATTTTATTTATTTATTCATGAGAGACACAGAGAGAGAGAGGCAGAGACACAGGCAAAGGGAGAAGTAGGCTCACAGGGAGCCCGATGTGGGACTCAATCCCGGGACTCCAGGATCACACCCTGAGCTGAAGGCACACCACCCAGTCATCCCCAGTCTAGAATTTCTCTACAAAATAAAAGTTTCATTTCTATGTTGAGATTTCCCTTTGTTGTTCATTAAGACTTATTTTTCTTTAACTCCTTAAACACATTAATTATAACTACCTTAAAGTCCTGGTCTGCTAATTTCATCATGTAGATCATCCCAGAGTCTGTTTCCATGGATGCATTTTATTTTTATGGGTAACATTTTCCTGGTTCATGGAATATCTAGGAAGTTTTTATTGTAGGTTAGATATTGTGGGAGATCCACTGGAAAGAGTCTGGATTATGCTGTTTGTCTCTAAAGAGGGTTGGGTTTAGTTTTGGAAGGCAATTGATGGGCAGCCCCTGTGGCACAGCGGTTAGGCGCTGCCTGCAGCCCAGGGCGTGATCCTGGAGACCCTGGATGAGTCCCACGTCAGGCTCTCTGCATGGTGCCTGCTTCTCCCTCTGCCTGTGTCTCTGCTTCTCTCTCTCTCTCTCTCTCTCTCTCTGTCTCTATGAATAAATAAATAAATAATCTTTTTAAAAAAAAGAAGGCAATTGATTTATCAGAGGGTTTCCTTGTCCCTGTCAAGCCTTGGTTTAAGGCTTTGTTAGAGTGAATCTACTAAAGTAGCCTTTATTCTAGGGCATGATCCTTCTTCCCAAAGCATGAATTTTCTGGTAGGGCAGCTGAATGCTGCAACAAGAGGATCTCTCCACTTTGGCTGGAATGATGACTCCCAGCATGGTGTGATCACTAACATTTTGGTTCTGTGCTCAACTCCTTAGCAGCCAGTCTCTTACAAAAGCTCAACTTGTACATGTGCAGCCCAGTTCTGGAAGAAACTAATGGGGAGACCCTGGTATGGCTTAAATTGTGTTCCCCTCAAAAGATTCACTGAAGTTCAGTTCCCCCAATACTTCAGAATGTGACCTTTATTTGGAAATAGGGTTTTTACAGAGGTAATTAAATTAAAATGAAGTCATTAGGGTGGGTCATAATCCAGTATAACTAGTGTCCTTCTGAAAAGGGGAAATTGGACACTGAGAGAAAGCCATGTGAAAATGAAAGGAGAGATCAAGGTGATGCATCTATAACCCAAGGAATGTCAAAGATTGGTGGCAATCACCAGACATCAGGGGAAAGGTGTGGAGCAGATTCTCACTCACCCTTAGAAGAAACTAATACTCCGACACCTTGATCTCACACTGCTGGCCTCCAGAACAGTGAGAGAGTAACTTTCTGTTGTTAGAGCCTCCCTCCCCACTTTTGTGGTACTTTGTTATGGCAGTCCTAGCAAATGATCCACTTTGTGGGTCCCTCATGTGACTCCCTCCTCCCTGGTGCTGAGCACACAAATTCCATTTGGCGACAGCTCCAAACTCTAATATTTGCATCCTTAGCTCAGCAGGACAGCTGGACTCTTCTTGGGCTCTGCATTTTTGTGCTGTAGTCAGGAAAAAAGCATCCCCAGGTGGAGAGCTGGTGGAGGCTGGGCTCACTTTATGTGACTGCACTTGTGTGGTGCCTATTGTTGATGTCCAAAGACAGCAGTGTTCCACATTTGGTCCAGTTTGGTAGTTTTTACAGTGAAAGGCAATTCTAATGTTTGTTACTCTGCCATGGCCAGAAGTGAAATTTCTGTTCTAAATTCTTTGAGTTATTTATTTTGAATAAGTTATTTGAACTCATTTACTTCTCTTGACGCCTCTATGAGGTAGATTAATCATTGACCTCATGAATTCCAGATTAAAAAAAAAAAAACCGAGGCAAAAAAAAAATTGTCCAAGGATATATCTTATAAATGGTGGAAGTAGACTTTGAATCTAGGCAGTTTAACTAAAGTGCATGCTCTTCAATATTTACCTAATATCTTATATAACAGGTGCTCAATGAATGTACTTTGAATAGAGAAATAGATGGCTGTCTCTTCTACTTTTTTGGCCATTTCCCTTATAATTCCCCCTGCCCAGGAAAATCCCAATACCACCTCAACCTATTATGTTCACTTTTCTTCCACCTAGACCTTTAAGCACTCTGGGGAAAATCACACTGAACTCCTACCAAGGCCGAACTCCTACCAAGTTATCTGGGCCTTTGAAAATACCTAAGAATTCTGTCTTTCCTTCATCTGTGCCTTCCATCGAGTGTTGGTTCTGCCTTGAATCTGAAACACCAATATCTCCCTACTCATTTTCAGGAAAAACACAATTTTCAGCTGTGAACTCTCAGATTCTCACTCATTTCTCTAAATTTGACTTGCACTTGCACCTATCCTTGTCTTTTGCTCTACTGTCAAAATATTTAGCATTTCTCTCTCTCATCAAAGGCATATCCACATGTGGCTACTGCTTGATGCCTTTCTTCCCCTCCCCAGCCAAGTGGTCCCATTCCCTGCGTTCCTCATCAACCTTTCACCTCCAGATCACTCCCTCAACTCCAGTCTGGCTTCTGTACTCATCACCTGTTCATTTATTAATGTTGACTTTCCCTTTTATTAATTTTATCCCTATGCTTTCTTTAAATGTATTTGTTATCATTTTAACTTCTTGATCTGGATCCCTAATTTATTATTTTTATTATTCATTAACATCAATATTTAAGATCATGAATTTCCCACTGCTTTCAGATTCTCATCTGTAGGACTGTTTTCCACATATTTTAAGATTTTTGTTTTCCTTTCCTCACTGAACCAAGAGCATTTCAGAGAAAATTTAAAAATATATTTGTGGTAGAGTGTCTTTTTTTCTCTGGTTTTATAATGAATGTCTGTTTTATTGCATTTTAGTCAGAGTATTTCATTTTGTATTATTTCTACTTTGGGGAAGTTTTATGATTTCTCTGTTGTTTTATATACAGTAAATTCTTGAATATTCCATGGACAGCTTTAGCAAAAGGTATACTTTCTGTTTTCAGATTACAGAGATCAATATATAAATTAACTAAATTTGTGCTATTAATTATATTAAAAAAGATTTTATTTATTTATTCATGAGAGACACACAGAGAGAGGCAGAAACATAGGCAGAGGGAGAGAAGTAGGCTCCCTGTGGGGAGCCTGATGCAGAACTCCATACCAGGGCCAAAGGCAGATGCTCAACCACTGAGTCCCCCAGGTGCCCCTATTAATTACATTTTTAAAAATATTGTATTTACTTATTAGAGAGTGAGAGAGAGAAAGCATGAGTTGAGGGGAGGGTTAGAGGGAAAGGGAGAAGAAGTAGGCTTCCTCCTGAGCCCTACATGGGGTTCGATCCCAGGACCCTGAGATCATGAACTGAGCTGAAGGCAGACACTTAACTAACTGAGTCACCCAGGACACCCCTATTAATTAATCTATCCCTTTTTTATTAAAGAAAATATAAACGCAGGGAACCTGTGCCCTTTCCCGGAGTATGGGCTAGGAAGTGTCAAGACTTCAGACTTGTCCCTACTCTCAATATGGTGCCAGAGCAGAAGAAAAGTTACTATGGTTGCTTCATGGCCCAGAAGATCCTGAGGAGTGGGAGAGTGATTTCCCTTGCTCCTGAGTGGGGAACGGAAATAGGGCAGAGGGAGTGGTACAGGCATAGAGGTTGCATAAAGGGGATGTTGTAACTCTTGTTAATCAGTGATCTGGAAAGATTATGCAATGGAATCTTGGTGCCAACATCATGGACAAAAGACAGCTCCCCTGCCTGGCACCACATAACTTCCTCACTCTACCCCACCCCCACTCCTGGTGAAGGAAGACTCTAAGTGATTGAGATTTAACGTCTACCACCCATGGGACTTGAAGAAGAAATTCAGTTCAGTGACAGAAAAAGTATTTTTTGCATGTTCATTCCACATCCGTAGCTTCAGCTCAGATCTCTCTGTGTGTTCTATACTTATATCTGGGTTAGAGTAGGTTTTTCAGCCTTAAGCGGAGTATGCTCAAAACTAAACTCATCACTGCTGATTGTTTCATCTTCACCCCTCAACTAAAACATATTCTTATCTTCCCTATTTTGCTAAATATTGTCCACATCCAATAAGTGATCTGGGGCAGAAACCAGGTGTTGTGTGAAGGGGTGTAGTTCAGAAAATGTTTAAGATCAAAACAAACTAAGGCATATCCATCCTATTAACTGGGGGTTCACAGGGGAATTAATGTAAAAACTATGCAAGCTTTTAAGATTGTTTTAAAAACCACTGTAGAAGAGGGCGTGACACAATGGAGCAGAATAGCCTGGAAACCCTTCCATACAAGCCAAAGCCACTGAAAATCCTGGGGGTTGGGGTAGGAGTAGAGAGTGGGGTCCACTGCTGGAGGAGGGAGCTGGAGAGGGGGATGGGAGTTTCGAGTGTGGCAGAGGTGAATGGCCGAAGGGAAGAGGATTCAGGGAACATTTTTCATTGGCTGTTCTGATCTTTATCCGAGTATTTAAGGGCAGGCAAAGTGACTAAGCCTGAGCTCCATCAAGAAGGACCCAGAACATCAGACTGCTCCTTCCTGGACAAAGCTTATAATTCTCCATGGCTCTCCAGGAGTCCACGGGGCTGGATGTCTACCAGACATATTTTGAACCCACAACATACCTGAACTACTACAAGATGGGCCAGAACCCTGTGGGTGATGACGTCCTCCATTTCTCCCTAAAACACTACAACGCCACTTTTAAACCAGGTGCTGGTCTCCTTGAAACCTGGGAGAGGTTTGTGGGAGGAAGGGTAGGCATGCAAATTTTAAATTAGTTGCTGATCTTCTTCAATCCTAGGGCAAGTTTAGGGTGGGAGTGGGGAAGGGCGGCTAGACAATTGACAGAAACTTTGGACCTTGGAGAGTATGAGGAACTGTCCTATAGGATGATTCTAGATATACTTGATATATGGTACTTGATGGGATGCCCTAAACATTTCTGAGGTCTCTGGGTCAAGATTTTCTCCTCTCATAAAGTCTAAGACTGGGAATACAGGTGGTTTGCAATAAATGTTTGGTGATTGATCTTTGGAATGTTATGGATGTTTTTAGTGGGGCTGTAGGACACTTAGTGAAGAGTGCTTGCATTATGGAAATGGGTGTCCCCAGGAGTGTGACCAGATTTCTTCTCTTAACGCTTATTTACAGTGATGAATTGGCAGTTGGAAGGACAAAAGCTGGTTCTCCACTAAGTGACCCCCCACCCCCCAAGATAAACTCTCCTGCTCCTCACTCTCCCCTCCTACCAAACTCTCCATGCTCAGTGCTGGGACTCTGTGTGGGGGTGCCTAAGGCTGTTTGGACAGGCAGCATTTCTCATACTGGACTTTCCACTCCCAAATGGTTGACTCCCCGCAGCCTCTCCAGGTGGGACAGAGAGAGGAGCCTTTCAGAGCCACGTTTTGGCGCCGATGGCTTAGAATGTGTCTGTTCTAAAGCAGGTGGCCTGAGAGGAAAGCTCCTGATTGACATAGGCTCTGGGCCCACCATCTACCAGCTTCTCTCTGCCTGTGAGTCTTTTGAGGAGATAATCGCCACTGACTACATGGAAAAGAACTGCCTAGAGCTGGAAAAGTGGCTGAAGAAGATGCCAGGGGCGTTTGACTGGTCCCCAGTGGTGAAATATGTGTGTGAGCTTGAGGGGGACAGGTAAGGGGTTTGTTGTTTGCTTTGGGATCGCCATGATGTGGGCTTCACTTAGCTCTCAGAATCCAAGATTTCTCATGGGGCTCATGTGGCAGGTGGAGACTAAGAAGGAAGAAAGTCAGTGGGGTCCCAAGAAGAAAGGAAGAAGAGTGAGATATGAATCCAATAACGACCAAAAGAGGGAAGAAGAATAGATGTCTGTAGACAGACCCAGAGCCAGAAAGGAGTTGTCATGAATGTCTACCCAGAATGCCAAGGCATCCCCCCTGGGGTTAAGGGAGAATGGTGACAGCCAGCCGTTGTTTGGCAGGTGCCCCTGTTGTTCCAGTTACAGCCTCCAGGAGGCTCCGAACTTGTGGCATCTTTCTGCCCATCACAGGAGGTGGGCTTAGAGTTAAGACCAATCTTGCATGCAAGTGAGCAGACTCTACTTACCTTGGATAATTTCAGGGCACTAGGAAGTCCACCATAGCCCCTCCACTCACAAAATACCACTCTCCCCAGGTAGGTAAGATGGTTGAAGTTGTATATTGGATTCTTGTGCCTTTTGCTTGAGACTGTGACTTTTTAAAAATGCAGAACTGGAAAGAGTAAATTTCTAAGTGCTAGTCCTTATGCCTTATGCGGTATAAATGAGCCCCCGTGTGCTGAGAAAAGATATAGGTAAAAAGAGAATGTATGAGGTGACAAGGAGGTTGAGTGGAGTGGTCAGGAGACACGGGGAGAGCCTGGAGGACCCCTGCAAAGTCTCCCAAGCACACTTTATAGTTTTGGTCAGGTGATTCCTGACAGGCCTTCCATTTCGTGTTGCACTTGGCTAGGTTGTGTTAAACATGTACCAGCGGAGAGAGAACGGGCCAAGCACCGGGAGCATTGCCCAGAGAGGGCCTACCGGTGGAAAGAGCAGTGACCTCGGGGTCAGGGTCAGCAGGTCCTAGGCTAGACTTTGTCAGTAGCTGGCCTTCTGACTTTGCCCCCTCTCCGGGGCTCAGTTTCTTGGTCTGTAAGACCAGTGACCTGGTACTCTGGGAGTCTTTGCGAAAGGCAGAGAATGGCCAGGAGTGATGTATGCATCTCACACGATGAGCCTGACCCAGCTGGCCACTCTTCCCTCTTCCCTCCGCTCAGGGACAAGTGGGCTGAGAAGGAGGAGCGGCTAAGGAGAACTGTCCGCCGGGTGCTCAAGTGTGACGTTGGGAAAGAACGGCCCCTGGAACCTGCAGTCCTGCCCCTGGCGGACTGCCTCCTTTCCTCTCTATGTCTTGAGTCCGCCTGTGTCACCCTGGAGGCCTTCCGAGACGCCCTGCGCCACCTCAGGCCCCTGCTCCGGCCCAGGGGCCATCTGGTGCTGACCGGGAGCTTTGACTGCACCTTCTACATGGTGGGAGACTTGAGATTCACTGTACTGCCACTGACGGAGAAGGTCCTGCGTGAAGCCCTGCAGGAGTCCGGCTTCATCATCGAGAGGCTGGAAAAGGCTCAGCGAGGACCCGAGACCCTCTTGGAAAAGTGTTCAGACTACACGGGGTTGTTCTTCCTCGTGGCCCAGAAGAACGACTAACGCAGGGTCCTTGGAAGCGTGTGGGTGTGCAGGGGCAGGACTTCCAGCCCGCATTCGGCCACCCATTTGCTTTCCTCTCCCTTTAGCTGGCCTTATTTAGAACCCTTACCTGCAAATGCTTTTAGAGCCTCATTATACATGATTGCCAGATAAATAGGGGTATTTATCCCACACGGAGTGGTTTACAATACACTCCACTAATGGCCCAGGGTTGGGGAAAGAATTGGACCAGAGAAATGAGGATGTGCCTCCTCTAGTTTTGAGGGTGCCTCGGGGTGGCACAGGGTGACGAGGGTAGAGTCCCTCACCATCTCCTAATTTAGGCATTTGGGGACTGCTCACCTTCTGAGCTCATTCCCCACCTGCAACTTCGCCCCTGCTGAGACTGCAGCACCATCCCATGAAATGAAAAGGACAGAGGTTTTGGCGTCAGAAGACATGGACTTTGGTACTTGGCTCTTAGCTTAGTTGCTCTTGTGATGTCAGGTGTGTTGTTAATACCACAGAGCCTTGTGTCCCCATCTCTGAAATGGAAATAATAACCCACCTCCCCAGGGCAGTTGTGAGACCCCAAAGAGAGAACATAAATACACCTGATAGATAAGTACACATGTGATGTTGTACGTGTAATTTTTTGCTGACGTTCCATATGTGTGTGTGACAAGCAGTTCTAAAGGGAGTTGGAGAGATGGTTTTCCTTCATTGTCCAGTACAATCCACCTAAGCCAATTTGGGATGGGGATGGAGCATTCAGGAAAGACTTTTGAAAAAAATAGCAGATCAGTGGGATATAAGGGGTGAACAGGAGTAAGCCAGATGAAAGAATCCGGGATAGCCTGTGAAGAACAGGAATTCTGCAGTAGCAGAGACCCAGAGGGGAAGTAACATACCGTGTTTGGTGAACTTCAGAAAAAACTGAGGACAGCTGGGCAGGTTGGGGTCCTGTCCCTGGAGGTCCCCAATAACCTATTGGGCATTGGCATTCAGAACAGGCCAGCGCTTCAAGTGGGCAGAGAAGTCACCCAAGCGGTGACCATTGGTAGCAACTAGGAGGTGGGCAAGCAAGTAATTTTTTAATCCAACAAGTATTTGTCGAGTGCCTACGTAAATTAGGTGCTATGCTCAGGAAGTGTCAGAAACTTTGCCTGGGGCTGGTCCTCACAGTTTAAGCTTAAGCTTAAGCTTCTTAAGCCCTCGATCACATTCTACCCCATGTCTGGGATATATTCTTGTGTGTGTATGTGGGTATGTGCCCGTGTGTGTGTGTGCGTGCGTGCGTGTGTGTGTGCATGCTGACGATGGTCGTAGAGAACTGATCATATCTATCCATGGGGTCACCACGTGAGCGATAGGAGAAGTTGACTCTCAAAGGCTGGGAGCAGATCAGGAGTTCACTACCAGAGGAAGCTTGCGTTGGATGCACCCAGAGGCTGAGCGTTAGTACCTCCTCCAAGGACAGCTCCAGGACACATCGAAGTGGTGCAAGCCAGAAAGCTGGGCTGGGCTGGGCAAGCAGACAGCAAAGAAAGAGCAAGGTGGGTGGGCACATGGGGAGGGTGCCCAGAGCAGGGCTGAGTTGCCCAGTGCTCTCCAGTGCTCTACCTCCCTGCATAGAGTGTGGACCCACATCCTGGGTACATTCTCCTGGGTTAGTTACATGGGTAGTCACATCAGGGAGCTATTGGCTTCTTCACATGATATTCAAGTTACCATGTACACTTTGTGGACTGTGAGTAGGCATTATGTTTGGTTTCGGGGGGGGCTAGTGGCCAGAAAGGTTTTATATCTACTGAAATAACAGGCAACACACTTCTGTTAAGCAGCTGTTACTGAGTAGGTGTGGGACTGCACTGAAAAGCAGAATTTGGGGATCCCTGGGTGGCGCAGCGGTTTGGCGCCTGCCTTTGGCCCAGGGCGCGATCCTGGAGACCCGGGATCGAATCCCACGTCGGGCTCCCAGTGCATGGAGCCTGCTTCTCCCTCTGCCTGTGTCTCTGCCTCTCTCTCTCTCTCTCTCTCTCTCTCTCTCTCTCTCGGTGACTATCATAAATAAAAAAAAAATTAAAAAAAAAAGAAAAGCAGAATTTGCTTGGGAGAAGGACAATGATGGGAATCACAGAAGCAGGCAGGATTTGTTCCTGCTCAGGGATGGAAGCTCATGCAGTAAGTGGCAGCTGAGATGAGTTATAAGAGAGGGTGATGGTTGGAAAGGTGTTCACACTGGAAGAAACACTACTGCTAAAAAACATGGTCTCTGGAAGATGGCAGGTGAGTGATGTTTTCTTTGCCTAGAAGATGAGCTCCATATGAGAGAACAGAGGGGGCCAAGGAAAGATGCGAAGGTGGCTCAGGGCATTAGACTCTGTGGGCCTCTCCAGGGTGTAGTCAGAGTTCATCAATAAATATTTATTTAGTGCCTGCCATCTGCCAGGCATCGAGCATGTTGGAATAAATATGACACAATTCTTGCCCTTGCTGGGCTCGTAGATAGTCATGACAACAGTGTTAGGAGAGGAGGACACACAGAAGGTCATGCCTAATCTGGGGGAGATAAGGAAGGCATCACAAACGGGTAATGTTTAAAGTGAGTCCTCAACTAACAGTAAATGCCCAATTGCCAGGCAGATAGTGGGAAGGAGGTGGAGGTGGGCTGGGGTGCTGAAGGCGTGTCAGGTGGAAGAAGCAGCATGGCCCAGGTGGGAGCCACGGGTGGACAGCGGGCATATTTGCGGAACCTCGGCCAAGAAACATGGATGAAGCACCAGTTATATGTCTGTCCCTGTTTTGTATTCTGGGGATACAGTGGATAAGATCGGCAAGGCCTTGCCCTCATTCTACTTGGGAGGAGAAGGGAAGGCAGACAATAAAGGAGTAGATCAAAGACAAAATACAATAAAATAAAAAAGTATGAGTGCTAAGAAAGAAATCAATAGGGTGGTATCGTGGAGAGGAACCGGAGTGGAGGGGGTGGGAGGAGGGCCCACCAGGTGCTTTTGGGACGAACAGACCCAGACAGAGATCTCACATGGCCAGACAGTGGTGTTAGGGTGGGGGTGGGGGTGCGCTAGGAGAGGGCTGCCAAGCCCAGCAGTGTCCCTCTCTTTGTAACAGAGCCCTCCAAGCTGCCGTGGAGAACACATCTGGAAGTGGAATCTACAGGCAGACGGGAGCAGCTCTCTGGCCTGTTCCCATCCTGCATGGAGGCCTCCCCTGGAGAAATCCCCTTTAAAATGTTCAAGCCCTTCCTTTTAAAGCCTTCCAGGGGAGGATCCCGGGCACTCCGACATCCAGGGGAAATAACAGACAGTGAGTCGGGTGGGGGACACACTTCTGGAGAATAAGGCAGGTCGTCCCCTGACTGTCTCTGTATCCTTCAGTGGAAGGAGGCAGGATGGCCATGGCCCATGGCTCCCTAGAGACCAGTCCTAACCCTGTTTTGGATTGTTTCCCTTGTCTTCTACTCTCTGGACACAGGGGGGCAGTCGAGCCTCGAGCTTGGCAAGCTGCAGGGCCCATGGGGCCCAGGACTCTTTCCTCCACCTTGCTGGCCTGAGGCCTGCTCTCCTGTTGAAGCTGACCACTGAATGTGGGAATCGGGAAGAAGAGGGCCACTGCCCACACAGAGCACCTTGATTTTCACTAACCCTCGCTCAACCGTATGTAAGATGCGCTGCCCACCTCCCCTTCCACAACAGAGGGGAAGGCCCAGGAAAGCTGACCCACATCCTCACTCTGCAGGGCCTGGCTGGGGATCAGCCCATAAGTAGCTTGAGTGACAGAGCCAGGGAGAGGCATCCCAGGTGGCTGCTGGAGCGGAAGGCTTCTGGGCCTTCTCCATTGTAGTAAAAATCTCCCCCAAAGTTAATGAAGCTGGGGTAGGAGGGCCAAGGACAGTGGATAGGGCACACTAAGCCCATCAGATCCACTCAACAGCCATTAACGCCAATGCTTGTGTCAGGTCCCATGCTGGCATTAGGCATACAAGGGGGAAATTGGATTCGGGCACTTCCAAAGAGTTGACAGTCAGGTGGGCAAATGGCCACTGTCACACAGTGTAGTAAATTCAGCATGAGAGGGTAGGTTAGGTCCTGGAGAAAACAGAGGAGGTGCGTTCACCTAAGTGTGAGGTGGGGTGAAGGAGGTTATAGAAGTCTTCCTGGAAATCTTAAAAGGGTTTAGCCAAGCAAAGGTAGACCAGGGCTTTTTAGGCAAGAGAAAAGTATGCGCAAGAGATCAAAGTCAAGAAACAACATGGGAGGGAGACTGAAAGAAGTTCCAGTGTGTCTGAAAAAGTTCCAGTATAATACCCTTTAATGTTGCAGCCGTTTTAATAGCACATGCTCTGTGGTGTGGCTCCTGCCTGACTCTCCAGCCAGCTGGAAGGGCTTTCTGAACAGGAGCCTTGGAGAACTGAAGTTTTCCAGGCTAGGGCCTGCAGGACTATGAGAAACTAGATGCTAGGGGAAAGACTTGGGAGCTGGGCAATTAGTTTCTGGATGGCTTTTTCTTCTGGGACCTTCCACTTCTTTAACAAGTGACTCCCCTGCAGACTGGGGACTCGAGTGGCAACTGACAAGGGGAGTTGTGGCGGTTGTACCTTTAAGAGGAATTCAGAGATTACAACTGTAAGCAAGTAACAGACACAAAAACCAAAACCAAAAGGCTAAATATTGATTAACTAGGTTACATAAAAATTTAGATTGCTGACTGATAAAAGGCCATCACCAAAGTGATTAGGCAGACAGATTGCAAGAAATATTTACAGTGGATAAAATCAACATGGAACCAATGCCTTCTAGCATACACAAAAAATATACGAAAATAAAATATACAAATTTGGACTAGGAGGAAGTCCAAAGAAAAAAAAGGAGCAAGGATATGATTAGGAAATGTGTAGAAGAGGAAACCCCAAAAGTTAGCAGACTGTGTAACTCTTCACTGATTTCTGTGTCTTTTCTTCTTTGGCACACAGTGAGACTACATTTCTCAGGTCCCTTGCCTCAGGCTGTGTGATTGGGTTCTGACCCAAGGAGTATGAATAAGTCCATGCACATGGCACTACAGACCTCCTGTGCTGTACTACTCCAAGGGCTGGTTGCAGGGAATCCAATGGAGTCCTCTAGGCCCTCAGAGATGACAGCTGCACAGAAGTCTGACCACCTGAAGCTGTACCCGTACCCTGACCCCTTCCACACAGGACTGTGAAGTGAACAAAGATATACAAGCATTTACTTTAAGTCACTGAGATGTGGGGGTTGTTATATCACTTACCTCACTGATAGCACCTGTAGATGTGCTCAAAGTGATCAGAGAAAAGCAAAATTTAAAAGTTGTAGGGGTGCCTGGCTGGCTTAGTGATAGAGCATGTTGACGCTTGATCTCAGGATCGTGAGTTCAAGCCCCATGTTGGGTATGGAACCTTCTTAAAAAAAATTGTCTAACTTCACTTGTTTTCATTAGACTGGCAAACAATGGTAAAGTAGATCATTCTAAGACTTTTGGTAGGGGCGGGAGGTGTGTATGGCTGTGTTGGTGATTATAGGGACTTCCGTGTACTGTTGGTGGAGATGTAGACTGGTATAGTTTTGCAGGGGACTTCCTGGTGTGTC